CCCCACCCTGCTTTACAGCAGGACGTGGTAACGCGGCGGGGGGGCCGCCAGGGACTGCCGGGGGGGGCTAGAACCCACCCCCCCACGACTGTGGCTTTCCTCACTCCGAATCCGCCCTCGGGGGGGCGAGCCTTAGGAAGAGACCCTGCCCGGGGAGCCCTCCTCCTCCCTTGCTGTCGTGGGTGACTTTTCTTTCCTTTGAATTTTATTATTTTATTTGATGATCGAGCTGTGGTTTAAAAAACAAAAAGACTTGACTCGCAACGAAGAGAACCCACCCCCCCACGACTGTGGCTTTCCTCACTCCGAATCCGCCCTCGGGGGGGCGAGCCTTAGGAAGAGACCCTGCCCGGGGAGCCCTCCTCCTCCCTTGCTGTCGTGGGTGACTTTTCTTTCCTTTGAATTTTATTATTTTATTTGATGATCGAGCTGTGGTTTAAAAAACAAAAAGACTTGACTCGCAACGAAGTCGGACTCCGAGTTGCCAAAGCTGCCGTAGACTGTGTGCGGGGACTTCTTCCGTGTAGCTCAACAGCTGAGCCCGACGCCTTGCCCACGGCGGGGAAGGGGAGAACGCAATCCAAGAAGCGAACACACAAGCAAGCGGACAAAACCCGCCCTGGTTGCTTTAGGGACATCAGAGGCTGCTTCCTGGGTCCAGGTGAGGATTTCGCTCCTGCCCATCTTTCGTGGAGTCGAGGCTATGGGTCGCTCTAAGTGTACAGTGCGGGGAACCGAATTAAAAGGCCACAACACCCCGGCTCGACCCGAGTGAGTTTGCCACAATCAACTCTCCGATTTCTTCTAAAGCGAGTTAAAAACCAAACCCGTTGGTTGGTGGGTCTCTCTTCGACACCAATTGAACGCTGACAATAACGCTGTTGAAGTGCAACTTACCTCTCAGAATTAATTTTATAAGGGTGCCCCTTAAGTGCAATTTCATTATTATTTGATTGAAAGTAAATTGAATTGTAACTCAAGGTCGATGAGGCAGAGAGCAATGTTATCTGAGCGCAGCTAGTGCCATTTGGGTGACAGGGAAAGAAAAGCAGCAAAGCAACAATTAGATCGAGGGACAGACTCGTATGAGATCAGTTGGGGATATTTTTACAGAAGAGCTTTTTGAACTTTGATGCTCAGAGGAAACAAAAAAAAAGTTTCTTATTGTTATGATTAATTATGAGTTAGGAAGTATTTGGGTGTTTGTTGACAAACCAGCCAACCCTTTCACTGCGTGTAAAATGTGACCCGTTGTTAGGATGAAAGATTGCTGGTTAAGTTAAACTAGGTCTGTTAAAAATAAAGAAAATCTGGAAAAAAAAATCCCCCTCAAAATGTGTTACCTGCTCTTGGTATCCAGTATAATTTTACCCCAAGCTAAATATTGTTAGTAGAAAGCATTTAATAGTCGCTACAGCTGTGAACTAGGGGGAAAAATAAGACCAAGAGCCTGAAATTGACAATAGCCAAACACTGAAATTGACACCAGTTAGGTAGAATGCTAACTGTTATGTCGAATCTTTAAAATTCAAGGAAATTAACCCGGAAAATAAATTGGACCAGCGTGTATTCTTCGTCACCTCTCTTTCCGAATACAAAACAATAGAAAGAAACTAAATAAACCATAGACTTTTTCAGCATTTTTTTTTTATAATATAAGAAACCGCGGTGGCTCATAAAGTTTTTCTGTTCTGTTTCAATTGTACAAAAGACGTTTTTGCCTCTGCCTATATCAATTTTTGTTCCAACTGGTCTTTAACGCTCACTTCAGAGAAACATAAAATATTTTTTTTCTCTCTCTAAGAAGGGAAGGTGATTCTGTTACATTATGTAGGTCTATTTAGGGGGGTTATTTTATTTTTTATTTATTTAGGCACTAGTATGTTTCGGATGTTCGATATGAAAACTCAAGTTACAGAATGATTTAATTAAATAAATCATGACTCGAGTGAAATATATTCAGAGCAATTTGTGTTATTTAATTACTTCAAATAAATGGAACATCACTAACGAGGCGTGCTTGATAGAATGATGCAAACAAATAAATAGAATCTATATTCCACTAAAGAGAGAAGACCTCGAATTAGAGATTTAAAAAGTGGGATGTTTGTATTGAATGTTTGTGTTCTGGTTTTAATAGAAAGATTTCCATAGTTACTTGGATTTCGGGGAGGCTGGGGGGAGATGGTGGTTTGGCGTACATATTTTTATCTAACATTATAGCTGAATTGTTATCATCTGTTTCTTTCCTTAAATCTTTTTGGTTTTAATTTATAGCTACGAGATTTTATAATCTGCTTCGCGCTCTTTCAGTAATGTGGAGTGTTCTATCGACCGAATACTTGTAAACACGTAGAGAAAGTAATTTTGCGATTCGATCGCGAATATTTCAAAGAGAAATAATTTTTGGATGCATTTGGAAGATGCGCAACCAAAAATCAAACCGAGAAATACAGGATGCTCTTTGAAAAAAAATAGAACTGGCTACTAACGAAAGATTTGCCAGTAATATACGAGGGTGCGCTTGTGAATGTTTCCTATCCTTTCACCGCAATCTAGTCGTTTCCGAGACAGAAAATTAGCTTCCGAATTTGTTTCAGATCTGAGGGTAATGTTTCCATTTTAGATACTCAAGATTTGTTTGCAAGGAAGAGCCAGATTTTCAAAAAATGTCCGGAGAAATAGATGAGACAGATACTGATAGATAATCTGTCTATTTTGCAGCGCTGTTTTTTTCTCTTGGATCAGAAAGCTTTGTTTACATATGGAAACGCGGACAGAGAAAGAGGTGACTTTTCAACATTTCCCGGTTAAAAACAGAAATGTCACGACTTTATTAGGCTAGAGAAAAGCGACCACAGCCAGAAAGAATCGGGTGCGTTAGAGGGATGCTACGCTATGTTTTCTCCTGCAGCTCTTTTCTACATGGAGCAGAGGGAGATGGGTTCATGTACAGAAATCAGGGTGTGTGTGTGTGTGTGTGTGTGTAATGTATCTCACACACGTCCCAGAGGGGTAGTCCTGGTGATGTGTATCCACCAAAACTACCAGGAGTCAGTCGTTGGGCACCTTAATGGATTTATTTGGGCAAAAACTTTCCTGGGAGAAAACCTCCCCCTAGGTCAGCTGCATGTGAAGAAGAGGTGGTTTTGCCCCCGAAAGCTTCTGCCCAAATAAAAACCAATCTGCCAGCCTTTCGGATGACCCGGGACGCCTCGTTGTGCAGACACATCCCTGGGGTTGTGCATTGATGTGCGTGTCTATGTATCTGACACACACTCGCAGCATAGAGACAGTCTGTGTGTGGCTGTGCGCGCTTTCTAGCACGGAGGTGAGGGAGGGTTGAATTGAACCGACTTCTGGGGGGGTGAAAGAGACGAGAAATCGCGCCCAGGGATGCTGTTTCCTCTCCCACCTGAGAGCCTGCCCAAAACGCAGCGATCCAGTGCTCAGGGGCAGCTCCTGTCACTGCCTCCCCCGCGATCCCCTCCCGCCCTTGGCTCTGCAGCTGCGGATCGCTCCCAATCCGGATTCCCTGGGCAGCTGGGGCGTCCCGACCACGGACGCGCAGACGGCGGCGCGGCTCAGCCACGCAAGAGGAGGGCAAAGTGCGTCCCCGGGGAGCAAGCGGCAGAGGGTCCGAGCGGCACAAGGCGCCCCCCAGAAAGTTTCGGGGGGCCCGGCGCGGCGCGCTGGGAACAGAACGTTGCCTCCAGCTGGGAGCTGGAAGGAGCCTTCGGTTGCCGCGGCCCGGGGCCAGGCCGGGGGGAAAGGAGGCACAACCCCCCCCCCCCATCCCCTTCGCTTTTTCTTGGCTGCCTGGTGCGCTCGGGGCGAGGCGCCTCCGGCTACGTACCTGGCTCTTGGCTTCGGCTCCCTCCTGGCGCCGGATGAGGCAGCGGGATCGGGCTGGAGAGGCGATCCCCAGCCCCGCCGGCTCCAGGGAGTTTGGGGCGGTCTCCGGCCTCCCACCCCTCCCGCTGCGCAAATCCCGGCAGAGAAATCGGTTTCAAACCGATTCAAACCACCCACGTTCGGGGGAAGCGCAGCCGCAGCCCCTGGGCCGGCCGGAGAACCGTTTCCCGCAGCCATCCGAGGGGGCTAAGAAAGGGGACTGAGGAGCAGCCCGGAGCCTTAGGGAGTAAGCGGGCCCTGCCCCAGCTGGCTGCCCCCCTGAAGCGTTCCCAGGGATCCTTCAAGTGCGGGGCACCAAACCGCCCTTTGTTTCTCCAAAGCCCCCTCTCAGCCCTTGACCCCAGCTGCCCTCTCCTGTCTGAGTCCCCTTAACCTCTTCTCGCCACCGCCTGCTTGGGGCTGCAGCCAGCTCCCTTCAGGCCTCCCCCTTCTACCCCCCAACACAGCCCTGGCCCGAGGTTGAGCACAGAAAGTTATAAACCAGGCAAACCAAACCAACAGGAGAAAAAAGGGGCAGTTTTAATGATGGCAGCTTCGGGGGTCGTGTGTGTAAACGTGTTCACACCGGCTCTAAACATTCCCTCAGGACCCAGCCTGGAATGGTGCTAAAACCAGGAGCTTCCCTACAACCTTCCTTAACCCAAGTTTGCGGCACCAAGGTGTTAGACGATTTCCTTTAAACAGACTCTTCGATTGGCAGACGGCCAAGCAGAAGTGACAATTCAGATGAAGACGTGGGTTGTGCCCACGGCAGTTCACGACACCATTGACATGTTTTGTTAAGTCTCTACGGTGCTGTAGGACTCTGTTGTTTTTTAAATTTTTTCTAGTACAGACTCACATGGCTGCCCCTCTGAATTTTTCCGACTCTAGGCCCCCCTGCACGGACACGGCCAAGATATGAAATTTCACCCAGCGATTCCTGCAACGGAGTTATTCTTCCCTAAATGAAACGGATACATCTGAGTCCCATCCCGCTCCTGAAATCCTTATTCAAGAACATCCCATACACTAGAGGTGTACATGCCATTGCGCCAAGCCAAAAAATGACCCGCTGAAAGTCACACTTATACAATTGCACCATCAAATGATATATTTGAATAATTTATGCTTTGCAGGAAAAATTGGTGCTTTTCTGAAGGAGCCAGAGAGACGCTGTAAGGCATAGAACAAACATAGGAATAGCCAGCATGCACACAATTGCAATTTTTTCCTTTCAACGCCAGAAATTCCTGCCATTTAACACTAGTTGGGAAAGGTGCAAAATAGCATTTGATTTTAGTTGTCAGTCACATTTGAAAAGGATAAACAAACAAAAAAAACCCCAATTTTCTTTCAATATGAAATTAAAAGCGCCTGTGCTTTGAGAATGCGTGGATGTATGAACATTGCGTTTCATTGCCACTTGTTCTGTTGGATAAATTTCTATACCCACACAATATTTTAATATACGGCAGGCCACTGCAATCTTAGGGGATACATCAGTTTTTAATGGTCTGAGTACTCTCTGAATCACCAGGAAGTATTCTGCTGAAGCTTCATTCTCAATCAATTGCAAATAAATTTAGGGTCATAATTTCTCTCTCTCAAGGTTATGTTGGTCTGGTCTTTTTCCTTGTTTTTGAGTATTAACATCTGTGCCCTTGATGGAGGACACAGCAAAACTGCCTATATATGATGGTCCAAGAGAGACTATTTCTTGTAGCCTTGTGCAACAGTTAAATACTTACATAGAAAAAGATTACAGTTATGCCTTCATGTGCTTATTAAAGACAAAAATTAAATGGAATACTTAAATAAAGGTATTGCATCCATTTTAAAATAATCTGATGCTTGGTGTATGTTATGAGCAGAGAAATGTTTATTTTTTATGGGCAAATGAACATTTTAAAATATAGATTTTATATAGGAGGATTTTCCGAGTAGTTAATAAATGCTAAAAAGATAAAAGTGTGCATATGCATTTAAAGAAAACTACAAAATTATTCCAGAGGAAAGAGTTATAAACTACTTAATACAAGTGCACATTTTTAAATACCGCTTCATAGGGCAGTCAAGTAAAGAGCGAATATTTCAATATTCAAAACACTGAATGCAAAATCCTGTAAAATTACTAAAGATATAAATCTGTGTACCAGCCAGCTAATGGTTTATTTGAAACCGTGATTTTCTGTAAAATATTGGTTATTGTCATACTTTACAAAGTAAAAGGCATCAAAGAGCAAGAACACACCAGACAAAAGTTGTAAAAGTTGAAACATTTTTACTTAGAAGTCCAGAAATCAAACTCGAGACAAATACATCAATGAAGTGTTCTTAAAAAGAATACAGACAAAAGCGTGTCTTTAAACATTGTGTTTCTTAGACTGCCTGCTGTGCCTATCTGAACAGCCAATAAAACCCTATTTCTAGACATTCTTTAAAAATCAGTATCTATTTTTGGGCTCTTAAGTTGTGAGCTAAAGGGTGTTTTGATTTGCAAATGACAGGCATACGCAATTGATGCTTAACTAGTAATAAAGGCAGAGCAGTACTCCTACTTCACAAAATGTCTCTCTCAAGCACATTGTAAGTGCTTTGTATGTCTTCTCCAGCACACTGTTTCAAAGCAACATAAAAACCCTTCCCCCATCCGTTATCAGTAAGAAATATACACAGTTAAAACACATATTGTAGTTAAAAACTACGAGCAAGTTTCTTAAAGATGCCTCATTTCTTCAGCTATTGTAAAAACAGGGTTTGATGATGGACGATGTCAGAAGACTAATTCCAGTTGTATCTTCCTGCCGGAGGAGGTAAAGGGTAGGGCCTCCCAGCATATCCCTGTAAACAAACAAAAGCCAGGGTTTATTTTCTGGATTACCGGCACAGTAAACAAGTTAGAGTCTGAAGCGAGGCTACGCAAATGGGAAACAATGCAACTTTTACACAAAGATCACTGAAGAAAGAGCTACACGTCTCATAAGAGTGTTTCCAAAAGCTCTCTTGGATACACGACAGTTTAGCTTCTCCACAAGGAGCGAGAGTCGGTAGCTGCCCCAACCTCACACTTCCATGTGGGTTGGGAAAAGATTTAATAATCCTGAGAGAGGAAGCAAGAAAGGCAGCACAGAAGGTGATCAGAGCTGCAGATATTAGTGGAACTGAACAGGTGCAAAATGAATGCGCGCACACAGTTCATGCGGAGTAACTGGAAAATAGGCCACCTTCACTGTGCACGCTAAAAGTATACTTTGACATGGATGCTGCTTCTTCCTGAGTTATGATTCATCTTATCGGACCCATTATGGTTAACTCATACAATGGTTTGTCTTCATTTAAATTTCATCGAATAAAAGTAGAAGTCTGTACTTTAGTTGCAGACAGGTGATCTTCCGCCAAAGCAAAACAGACAGGCTATGTCTAGACGGGCCTGATTTTCCGCAAATGCTTTTAACGGAAAAGTTTTCCGCTAAAAGCATTTGCAGAAAAGAGCGTCTGGATTGGCACGGATGCTTTTCCACAAAAGCACTTTTTGCAGTAAAGCGTCCGTGCCAATCTAGACGCGCTTTTGCGCAAAAAAGCCCCAAGCCATTTTCGCGATCGGGGCTTTTTTGCACAAAACAAATCTGAGCTGTCTACACTGGCCCTTTTGCGCAAAAGGACTTTTGCCCGAACGGGAGCAGCATAGTATTTCCGCAAGAAGCCCTGATTTCAGACAGTAGGAAGTCAGTGCTCTTGCGGAAATTCAAGCGGCCAGTGTAGATAGCTGGCAAGTTTTTCCGCAAAAGCAGCTGTTTTTGTGGAAAAACTTGCCAGTCTAGACGCAGCCACAGAGGATACATGAGACTTCTTGTCGGCGTGTTCCTGTGGTGCAGCCTTCTTGTTCAGTTTTAAATAGCATTTTAAATGCTAGGTGACAGACTATCAATGCCTGTCAACGGGCTGAGTACTGACAGTAGTACAGAGGACTTCAAGTACAGTGATTTCTAGTTATATATTTGTATCTCACTTCATTTCCACACTCAATACGTCAGCTTCCTGGTGTTAAGCTTATCTGAGGAGAACTTATAAAAGAGACAGTCAACTTGAATCTCTCTCCAAATTGAAAATTTGGTACCTACCCATTGTTACCAATAATCCTAAACTTTACTGTAAGAGGCCAAAGGAAAACTACTCTTTAGTGTCACGTTACTGAGGTGATAGGACACACTAGGTGTATTGTCTTTTGCTTTCTCGGGAGAACTGGGGGCCAGGATGGTGACAGTCCCTTTCCCAGCTTTTTCCAGAAGACGATGAGGAATAAGAGAAGCAGCTAAACTGAATGCCAAGGGCAGCAGGCAAACAAGTGCAAAAGGAGAAAGAGGAAGGTGTGGCCCAAGCAAAATTGACGGTGTTACTCTCTAACAGCCCCAAAGCCTCTTCTAAAGAGACTCCCACCCTCTCTTCATTTAAAAAAAGATTCACAACAAACTGGTTTTGAAACATGCTCCAACAGGAATCTGTGTTTTTTAATATAGTCAATCAATGTAAAGAAAAATCAATGGTGAGTGCATTCCTTTACAAGTCTCTCAGTAGCATAAAATGGTTCACACCAAGGCAGTTTGTGAGTGTGTGTGGCCAAAACACTGTATATAATCACACAAGTCTTAGTGAGGTAGCCGCATTAGTCGTACCTGCAAAAACAATGCGGCCCCTTAAGGACTTAACGGATTTATTTGGGCATCAGATTTCGTGGGTCAAAACCACTTCATCAGATGCATGGATCTAATCGTGCCGTTAAGACACTGACAGAGCTGCACAAGAAAGAACTATTTTTATCACTCAATTCCTTTATTATAGGGTCAATACTAAAAGTTAGACATGTCAGCAACACCATGAATTTTACTGGTTACGTTTCTGGTGTGCCTGTAAGACAGATCAATCAAAATTGGCTACAACAGTGACCCACATCAAAGACAGTTGCATTAACTTTGTAAGCACGCCACAGTGCATGTTTATTAACTCCCGTGGGCCATGCTGTAGCTAGGAATTTAGGCGCAAAGGGAATTGATAATTATTTATGCCACTATCAAAAGTGGGCCCACTTTCATTTTAAGCCTTTTCAGGACATATATAAACATCAATTTCAAACGTTGATTTGCACTCCTAAAACCCTAGGGTGGCTTTTAATGTAACATCAATATTTACTCACCCCAAGATCATGAGGTGAACAAAAACCTCATTTAAAAAACAAAGGAGGGCTTAATTACTAAAATTAGAGACACAGTACTGTCTCAAAAAGGGGTTGCTCAGAAGGGGAGTTCACACGAGGACACGTCTAAAAAAAGCAAGCAAAGCTTACTTGGCCAGAAGTTTTCTGCCTTGCCCCACTATCAACACATATTTGAATACAAACAAGAACACTGTTCCTGTCTAGATTTAACTTCACTGCAGGATCAAGCAGAAGAGGAGTCCTGCATTTCTGACACCAGACGTGTATCTTGGAAAATATATTAATACTAGAAATTCAGTACATCATCTACGCTGCAATTTGCTAGAACCGTGAGGGGACAAGGGAAGATTTAATAATGTACTGGCTTATAGAAATGTTAACAGTCTATGAGGCGGCATCATAGGTTTTCATAACACATCCTGTTTTGAGCGTCTACATTTTCTTTGTGATTTGATACAGGGCTCTCTGAGTCTACAGTCCCAATGTTTTTCTGAGATCACCATCTCGCCTCTCCTCCGTGGGATGTTAACCCGTTTGCATTGCGATTGCAATTTTAAATAGCATTTAAATTTTAAATGAAGGATTCCAGTGCTAACTCCGGTAGCGGAAATGTATCCAGTTATTCTAGGATCGTGGAGCAAAGTGGCCTCATTCATTTTAATTTAATTTATTTATATGTAAATGTGCAGTTATACATTTATTTTTTGGTTTCTAACTTCTTGATTAAGATGCATTTGAAATCATTCCATTATAGATTTCCAGAACGGACCCTGTCAATACTCGGGATGAAACAGGATAAAAGCCGGCTCCCAGCATGCACTAGTTCCTGGGGAGCTAGCTGCAGGTGCACATAACAGTGTAGCTGCTGAAATTTGCAGAGGTTACACGGCTACCTAATTACCTGCTTTTTAACATCCCTAGCCAATATACACCTCTTAGGAAAATTCAGCCACTATGTGGTGCAGATCAAGAAGGTTCTGGTCTTGTTTAACCAATCAGTGTAGACAGAATCACACCATTTTAAGAGCTAGGTCAGCCCAGACAGTGCGCCCGATTAGAACCCATTCAATCGGATTTCCTCTAGAGGCCAAATAAGGGTTTAAAGCTTGCCTACAGCCGAGTCTCCCAGCCATACGTGAGCATTGTAAACTTTGCCTACAGGCCTATACGCAATAAACCAACCTCTTCTCTACCATCCTCCAAACCAGAGAAGCAGCTTGAGCTAAAGACATTGCCAGACTGATCTTGAAAACTTTTCCAGAAGTTCAGAGAAGGAGCCTTCGGTTGCTATCACAGGTTCAGCTGAACTAGCATTAAGGGTCAGGAGCACTACGGCAGATCACCTGCTGGCTACAGATGTTTCAGCTTCATGAAGTCCTGCAAATCTGGGAGACATGAGACTGGAAGTGGTGTTGGCAGCCGGCAGCCGCCTCCCCTGGGGCTCCTATCACTACGAACGCTGATCCAGGTGAGTGAGCCTGAGCCACAGTGAGGAACAAATCGCAAATTTCCCTAGTGTCTGCATAGTCCAAGCAGCTTCCTCGCAGCCATGCATTTTGGTTGATGTCACATTTGAAATACCTACTAAGAAGTTACATCTTCTTGAAGGGGGGCTATTTAAACAAGCCATTTAAACAGCGAGGCCAACAGCCACCGCAGGCCCTGGAGGGGCTGCACCCCTGAAAGGGGAGGGGCCTTGGATGGAATGGGTGGGATTGAGGGCAATCAGATCTCAGTGCCACCTGGACTGCTGTGGCCCCACCCCGCCCTTGGAGCTATGGAGAGGCGCTTTGGCAGCAATTCAAAAGGGGCCTACGGGTCCAGTCACTACTGCACCCTTTGCCATACCATTACTAGAGGCTCCCACAAATGTATATGATGCTGGGGTGTTGCTTTACTACAGCCACAGGACAAGCTATCCATTCTTTCATAGAGCTTTCCAGTAAAGTGATCTACCGTAACAGACAAGGAAACATGAAGTGGAGGAAAGCGCCATAGCAGGAAATTCACCTTGGCAAGCACCAAGTGACAATGGTATAGTGCTCTAACTAGGCTTCTCAGGGAGACAAGGCGGATGAGATAATATCTTTTCCTGGACCAACTTCTGTTGGTCAGAAAGAAAAACTTTTGAGTGACCTAGGTCTCCAGGTCCGGAAAGGCACAAAGGGCAAGTCGCAACACTGCAGGGCTAACCTCGGAATAGGCTGCGCGAATTGCGTAGCTGAAGTCGAAATAGCTTATTTCGACTCTCGGTGCTGTCTATGCAGCACTTATTTCGAAACAGGGCACTCTTCCCGACTTCCCTTACGCCTCAGACAACGAGGTTCACAGAAGTTGGAGTAAGAAGCCCGTTATTTCGAACGTATTGCAAAACATCGGGTTTGCTGTGTAGACGCGCACCATGTTATTTCGGAATAACTGATGTTATTCCGAAATAACGCTGTTGTGTAGACGTGCTGTTAAAGAGCCACAGCTAAAGACAGGATCGAACACAGATATTTAGCATTAGTGGTGAGCGCACATAACTTGATCCAATAAAAGATATTATCTCGCTCACCGTGCCTCGCTAATATCCCAGGATTAACACGGCTGTAGCAATACTGCATACTGAATAGGTGTGTAGGCTAACAGAATGGAATTTTCAGAATTAAATGCATCGTTTTACCATTAGACACTGAAATGTAAGTCGGTATCCAAGCAATTATCCCTGAAAAGCAGATCCGGCTACTGGCTCATCCCTATATTACTCCAGTTTTACACTGGCATAACGTGGACTTCATTGCCGTTACACCAGAGCAAAAGTGAAGCCAGGCAGATTCCACGCAATTGATTCATTACAATTCGGTTCCCAATTAAATAGGTTTTACATTTATAAAACAGAAACGAGGATTGGGTAATAATCTCATGTGTGGTACAGGCCAGAAATTAACCTTCTGTTACAACATCCTCCTACAGCTGGGGAAGTAGGACCAAGAGGGGAGGGGTATGAGAAACTATTCTGAAAATTAATAAAAGTAAGGAGGAAAGCATACATTGGAAGAGGGGGATGCCCCACACGGCATTTTTAGCTCCTGGAGGGCAGCTGAAAACACTAAAAAGGGAAGACTTCTTCCCCTTCTTGGGAGTTAGCTGGGCCAGGACCCTTAGAAATAAGGCAGAGGTATACTTCCATCCTCACTAATGGCTCACACCTTTGCTTCCACATCAGTTCTGGAAAACAACACGGTTACGCAGCAGGTAAGAGGAAGAGAATTTCCTCTTCCTACTTCTCCAGCTGCTACTTGGTAGTCTTGCTTGCCAGTGGACCACCACAAACTCTGGCTTCCAAAAAAACAGCATCTGCCTCATATTCCAGAAGTGGCCTAAAATTTAATCAGGACAGCGCCAGTGCATTTTCCTACTGTGCTACACCACCCAGTTGCTGTACTTAAGGTAGGGGTGTTAAAATTAGAGTAATCAACTAATCGAACAGTCGATGGCATTTCCACCAACTATTCGATAAGGGCGCTTCCGCTTTGAAATGCGGCAAGAGCCACATGGCATTCCGCCTTTGAAATGTACAAGACCTTCAGCAGGGGACTGAGTCCCCCGCTGGCCTCATGCGGCGCTTCCCCTTTGAAATGTACAAGAGCCCCAGTAGGGACTCCTGTACATTTCAAAGGTGGAATGCCGTAGGTGCGCCTCTGCCTCCTCCCACGGAGCTGGAGGGAACCGGCTTTTAAGCTGGCTTCACCCACCCACAACGCTCTCTTTCCCCCCTACCCCCCTTTGCTGCCTCTTTTTGAGAGAGGCAGAAAGGGGGAGGGAGGAAGCGACTAGTTGCTAGTGTCTCGACTATCCGATAAGTCACTTACATCCCTATCTTAAAGTTTCTAGTACAATTGTGCACCCTAACATGTCATCCATTTATTGGAGAAAAATGGAAGAGAATATGAGAGAGAGATAGAGAGAGAGTATGTGTGTGTGGGGGGGGGGAGAGGGGGAGAGAGTGTGAGATGTTGTTTTGGCTCTTTATTAAACTCATATTGTCCTTTTAGAAAGATGGCAAGTCCACTTCATGCTTGACTATGCACTCTTTAATGTTTGCTTACTTAAATCTAAGTAAGTAAATTTAGTGTGTGCATAAGTAAGAGGATTTAGTGGAACTCAATTTTTTTTAATCATTTCAATGGATAACTATTTTGTAAGCCTTTTCTCCATTTTTTTTTCAATTTAAATTTTCACCATTAAAGGGAGTTATGGGTGCTCTGAAAATTTAGCAACAGATTTTATATTCAAGAATTGCTCCAAAAAGTTTTATAACTTGATATAAGTGGTCATCACATGTCAAAAATATACAAAGTAATTATCCTTAAATTCGAACTCCAAAAAGTTTTCCAGATGCATTTTTTCTTTGCCTTTCCATAGGTTCTAGCAAATTCATCTGTTTTTGTGTGAACAGCGAAATCAAGTTACTAAAATTTAACAATGAAATCTAATCATTCCAAGACTAGCTAGCTAACACCCCCACCCCCACCCCCAACCCCTTTGAAATATACAAAGTAATTATCCTTAAATTCGAACTCCAAAAAGTTTTCCAGATGCATTTTTTCTTTGCCTTTCCATAGGTTCTAGCAAATTCATCTGTTTTTGTGTGAACAGCGAAATCAAGTTACTAAAATTTAACAATGAAATCTAATCATTCCAAGACTAGCTAGCTAACACCCCCACCCCCACCCCCAACCCCTTTGGCTATTAAGTGTCTAACAGACTGGAAACTATGTGGTTAAGTCAAATCAGTATGCTTTAACAAAAAGGAAAAAAAATCTAATTTAAATTTGGTGGTTTGATATGTCCTTCAATTCATCTCTGAGGATGTGTTAAAAACAACCCTTTAAAAAGAGAGCCACGTTAAACTTTAAAACAAAACCGTAGATTTTTCATTTGCGGTAAGGATTTTATCATTTTCCATACCAAAGATACTGCAAAAGTTATCCAGAAGAAAACAATGTACAATCACAAAGTGTTTTATTACCTGTCTTCCCCTATCCATTCGATCATCAGGTCTGTGTGGGTAATTCATTGGTCCACCTAGGCCTTGGTACCGATTTTGCTGGAATGCCGCACCCTGGGATTGCAGCATGCGGTTCCAAGACAGAAGGGGGGCAGCCCCAGAATTTCTGTGGTAATTAAAATATTTGAGGCGGCTTACAATTTTTTTTTAAACACAACACATATATATATATATATATATATATATAAAATTCATATTACAAACCCCAACCCTTTATGGACATGTATAATACATGGGTTGATTTGCCTAGGCACAGATCTATTGTGTTAATTGCGTGGTCACATTACAATCTCCGGGAGCTACAAATGCTGGAGCCCCTCTGATCTGGCCCACACTAGGTAAGCAACAAGCCCTGCACAATTTTAACAATCGGACCATTTTGACACACTACTCCACTCTCAAAAATACTATGGCAAAAAAACCACATGCTCTTGAAAGAATGCAATTTTGATTTTGCAGTCAGGGATTTTTTGGACTCCCTATAGGGATTTTTGTTTATCCCGTATTTTAGAGACAGGTTTGCCGGTCTGTTTGCAGTGACTGCCAATGCAGATTTGAAACAAAACATCTCCGAGTTAGCTAAACATAACACACTATCCAATGAGTAAATATGTGCAACACAGGAGAATGAAGCTTTATTTTCTAAATGTCCAGACTCTTTCTGGGAGTCCATTCTTTCTTGTTAATTGCAGGTTGCAAATGAATTCTTACTGCCGAGTATTTTGAATCTAGGGTAGGGGCCTTGGCTGCTTTTTCCCATCCATTATTCTGCTCAATATGTCAGAAGGTCTGATCGGGAAGAAACCTTTTCAAGTTCTATTGATGCAGTTTTCAATTGACCATGGTGACCTAGCAACATAAGCACTAATTGGCATGGACTGACTGACATTTGGTATACAGTTATATGGGAACACACATTCAACATCTATTTTAACCCAGTTTGTCATCCTAGATTACTAGCAGCAAGAAATGTTTTAATTGCCTTCAAGTACCTAGGCTAAACTTACAGATATAAAACTGGTACATCAAATGATTGTTTTATTACAAATATTCATAAAAATGATAAAGCCATATACGGCTTTGGATACGCTCTCTCCAGCGTTAGAGAATTCAAAATCCACATTTTCTGCACAGAACACACAGTGTGTTGAGGGGGAAGAGAATTAATCAGATATATTCAATAGAATTCATATACAAACCCAGTAAATTTAAATTTGTTTTGATTACCGTTCAACAGGTATACATTGATATTCTATTACGGTTTCTGAGCACAGGAGGAAAGAAACTAGCATAAAATATCAAAATGTTGGACAACTGTTAGAATGGATTGTAAAGAAAATAACTACAGTATTACTTTCCTGGTCTTTGAAAAATCTGGGGCTGGATTCATTTGGTTAGATATGAAAGTCATCCCTGACCAAACTCTACCAAAGTCAACGAAGTGACACTGGGGCTGAATTTGACCCAGTCTATTCAAGCAAGCACTCAGGGTTTTAATAAGGTGATCAATTCTCCTTCTTGAAGTTTGTACAAGCATATTACACATAGCTGCCTATACAACAGTCGAAAGATGAGTGGTAGGCTTATGAAGGAAGAATTGGTGGGGGCGGGGAATGTTTTCATGTGCTGTAATAGGAAAGTCACTGATCCAAACGGAAAGTCTATATTAAGCAAGTGCAAGCTATTTCTGAGCACCCAAAACAAAAAACGGTAAATGAAAACGGCACTGTGATTACTTTGTCTGGCCAGATTTTAAGAACAGTTATGATGATGAAACCTAGGCAAGGAGAACCACTGTCCACAGAGATAAAAGAACAAGATTCCTAGTATAAAGCATGAATCTTTCTTGACAGACGCATAGTTTCCGCTTACAAGCAATATACACAAAGGAATTTACTGAAACAGAATTAAATGTTGCACAGAAGCAAAACCTTAATGAAAGCTGAATTACACTCCTTTTGCCTATTTTGATCTCAAGCACCAGCCTCTATATTCATAAAACATTATCTGAAGCATTTACTAGTCAGACCAATACTGTAATAATTTTAAATCCATGGCAGGTTAGATTAAGCACTCAAGATGTCCTACAACTAGTGCGGAGACATTCCTTTTGCTTAACTACATATTTGGTAATGTTTTTATTTTACATTTCAAGGAAATATCATTGTCACCCTAAGGCAAACCACTGGATTCATAATATGCCTCTGTATTTTGTCAAAGCGACGAGGAGTCCTGTGGCACCTTATAGACTAACTGAAGTGTAGGAGCATAAGCTTTCGTGGGCAAAGACCCACTTCGTCAGATGCATGCATCTGACGAAGTGGGTCTTTGCCCACGAAAGCTTATGCTCCTACACTTCAGTTAGTCTATAAGGTGCCACAGGACTCCTCGTCGCTTTTGCAGATTCAGACTAACACGGCTACCCCTCTGATACTTGACACCATGCAAGGCACTGTATTTTGTCAGTTACCTCGTAGTGGTGACACGAGAACATTCCATCAAAACACTATGAACGTTAAGTAGGATCAGCCAGATCTTTCATTATTATTTGGTTTCTGTAAGTTTGTCAATAATTTCCTTTATAAAATCACTTCACCACAAAAGTCTGTGTAGGCAACAGCTTCTGTAAGGTCTCTCAGGACCATTTTAAAAACAGATTCCATTTAAATCAGTATGTTTAAATTCTATACAAATGCCAAGAGACTGCGGTTAAAACGAATGTGTGTTTTCGTAACTCAAGTTGGTCTCACACAACAAGTTAAATTATTCAGACAGGAAGTACATACTACTAATATGAGTATTTAATTCCCCAAAAACCATCCCAAGCAGTGATTAAATAGTCAGTATGTTGCTTTTTGATAAGACAATATACAATCACAGCAACAACTATTCGAAGAGGATTTTGGCAATTCATTTGACAGTTAATGTTTACAGGGCAAAAAGTTACATACTATGTTTTGTATTAGACAGTGTAATTTTGCAAGTCTGCATATTAGGAATGTTTACTAAGTTGGACTGACAACATACTAGGAGTGCATCATAGATTTAAAAGCTTGTTAGACATTTCTATTGCTTCCAAGCTACTGTAAAAATAGAACAGGGCTATTTAAAAATAGAAGATTTTAGCTAAACCATTTTCAAAATGCTTTGCAAGTACCACAGTGTTAAAAGCAAAAAAACAAAAACCCCTACACACAAAAACAAACAAAATCCCTCCAAACAAAAACCCACAAACAAAAAGATTTCAACCTCCAGATTTCGATTCTGTCCATCATTCACTAGGTTAATGTACTTTATTTAGGTGATGAAACGGTATTGATGCAAGATTACAGTTGACATTTTAATCTGACAAATCAGGAAATTAAAAGATACAGTTCCCACCGGAAAAAATTCTGTGCTATTGTGCATATTTATTACTATAGGATCTAGTCTGTCTTAACTTGGCCTCTTAATATACAAGCAGCAATACAAAGTAATAGACACAAGGGCAATGCCCTTTGTGCTGTATTTGACTTAGGACAAAACATGATATATTACCCAGTATTGTATGATTGTGTAATGAAACCCTAATACATATGGTAACTGATAGTGAGGGTTGCTTTAGAAAGTATTCTGTGCTAAGAAAATGTTCATATGTTCCAAGCCTCAATTTTCCATGGAGATTTCATTCAAGCACAGACTAAACAACCCTAGCTTAGCTGAGAAGATTTTCAACACCCACAGTGAAAGGACTGTGTTCTCTTCCCTGAAACGTTAGGAAATGACAGTCAAACCCAGATTTCTTGAGCTTTCTAGGGTTATGATCAACAAAGCCCACAAATAACATCACATATATAAAGCTTCTAAAATATAATACAGGTTGGACCTCCCTGGTCTGACACCCTTGGGACCTGAATGAGGGAATCTGCTGGATCAGGGGAAGCTCCTGTCACTGGCCTCCCAGCCCGCTGCCCGTCCCTGTAGCTGGTTCCATTCCAGCCCACTGCCACTGGGCCCCAGCTCTGCTACTGCAGGGGTTGGGGGGCAAAGGTTCTGGCCCTGCTGCCATTGGCCAGCTGGGGCTCCCCTGGGATGGAGCTCCGCAGCCAGCAGCAGCCCTCGCTTCTGCCCCACCCAGCCATGCTCCCTGGGATGGGACTTGCTGGGTGCCGGAGGCGCAGCATGGGGCTCCCCAGCCGCTGGCAGCTTAGCTAGTGGGACTTCCTGCCACTGGATTCCTAGCTGGCTCACGCTCCCGAGTGCCAGGTCTCTCTGGTCCAGCAGCATCTGTAGTCCTGCTGGACCCCGGATGTTGCTGGACCAGAGAGTCCTGGATTTAGGAGCTTCAACGTGTAATGAAGTCCAGCCGCCAGCACTGGAAAAAGTGCCACCAAGCCTAGAGTACACAGCATTCTCTCGCACTGGGGCTGGAGCAATTGTTATAGTGGCAGTGCCGAGAGCCACTGAACGCAACTGTCAGCTCTGTATAGAATGGAAACCTCTTCAAGACAGGGGTGCAGAAGCCCCCCCAGCAGCTCTGGGTCCAGCACCTATGTGCTCACATGCTTAGTCAGCATTACATCAGGCCCAAAGTGGTTTATACTGACAGCAGAACTCCTCAGAACAGGGCGACCATTTGCTTACAAGTATGCAGGGGTGGCTCTGTTCGACAAACGTCCTGTGGTTTTAATTACCTACGCCCCCTGCATATACCCCTGGAGACCGTTATACCCCTGGCTTTCAAAACGTAAATGCCCCTGTATAGCCAACGAGGTCATTCTGACTATGAGACACAAGCATTTTACAGCCCTGTTTCCTCCCAGCAAGCTAAATCCAATCGCTTTAACCCAGCCTCCCAGAAATCTTTGTGTCTCCCTCGATGGCCCCTCACTGGCAGGGACGGGACCAGACTCACATCCCCTGCTGCCAGCTGGAGGTTCACCCTCCCAGTCCTGTCTACTTCAGAGGAAGAGCTTCTTCTCTTCCACTGGGCACTATGATGTCAATGCCTATTCACTTCTTTGGCAGCCTAGGCAGAGCAAGGAGAACACAAGAACGGCCAGACTGGGTCAGACCAAAGGTCCATCTCGCCCAATATCCTGTCTGCCGACAGTGGCCAGCACCAGGTGCCCCAGAGGGAGGGAACACAACAGGCAATCCTCACGTGATTCCTCCCGTCCAGAGAAACCCACCTCCAGAGAAACAGAGGCTAGGGACACCATTCCTACCCATCCTGGCTAAGAGCCTTTGATGGACTTAACCTCCAGGAATCAATCTAGGAGGAGGAGGAACAAGTAGCAGGAACAGACAGTGGATAAGGAGCACAGACAGCAGCCTCACAATGCCACAAAAACTTGTTGGCAACTTCTCTCCTGCTTCTTAACTATGCACAGGTTGAAAACCACTGCTCAAGGGCATTAGAGCCAGCAAGGGAGCCCCAGGTCTATTACAATCAACTCCCCTCCCAATCCCAAATCCTTTAGAAACAAATATTCAGGCCACTGACTTTTGGATGCACACTCATTCAGTAAGGCAAAGATTTAATGTCAATGCTCTGTGCGTGTAAACATTTTAACTTTGTATTTTCCTTATCTAGTGTCGTTGGGAACATGGCAGGTGTATTTGTCCTCCCTGGAGTGCTGAGTTAGGCAAGCAGGTGGTTTTATAAACCAAAAAGATACAAGCACAAAACACCAGAAAAAATAATCTTGAGCTGTGAAAAGCCACCTTATTTTCATTTTAAAGCCAGAAGGATTTTCTGCAAACTTTCCAAAGAGATTCATTCCCCTCTTGGCTACGTCATGACATGAACAACTTCAGTGCCATAAAGAAACTGGAGAGAGGCCAAGAATGGAAGTTTAGGAATTAAAAGGCGATCTCCACATTGTAACCTCACTAGCACACTGCCTGCTGTCCACACAGCCTGCCCTCAAGAGGTAGCGTTAAGGAGCCAGTATTTCCACAATATACTATACTAGTGAGTATGTGCATCTTCCCAATAGTAAAAGGAAAATACACTCTGTATCCTCATGCCAAGTCTTTCCCACTATCATCTACACTAAAATCAACACACACAACGGCATCGGTTGAAGAGGTGGAAGTGTAAAGTTGGAAATTCAGAAGGCCAAACAGATATTTTAGTTCAAATATTGTGAATCAACGAAACCTTACAGAATGACGTTCTAGACTAGAGTGAATTTCCTCTTGTTTTAAAAAACAACTACAAGTTACCAAATCATATAGGATTCTTTCATGAAAAGAAACAGAAGAAAAACTATTTGTGAAGCTACTTTTAATAAAGATCAAGGATTACAGTCTGATACACTGCGGAACATAATGCTGAAAACGACACTTCATGTGGACTCTTGCCTTACAAACCTGGCAAATTAAAGAGACAGCGGGCCGATTTTGACAAATAAAAAGGCTAGCCATGGAAGGGGGGTGTGTTTGTTAAACAGCCCAACAACTTTTCCCCAGTCTGATTCTTTTTTGCATTTACAGCTGTAAGTAAACGGAGCATCTGTAAAAGCAAGTGTCCATTTCTAATCTGTACTCTAAAAACTGCACTACCTATTTTAATATCATTATTCATAGCTTTCAGATATTCCGGAGTTGTAAAGCCCATCCGACTTAAGGGCATACAACTTAGCAATGAAGGAACACATGTAAAACATCCCTTATTATCAAACCATGTCACATTCTTTCTATTCCATGGTACTTATTGGACTGCAGATTCTATAATCCTCCTCTGAGTCCCTTCTGCATTTAATTCAGTTCAGCCTTAAGTAGTTAAAGAAACTGTTTTCAGTGGCAACTAATAACTACTGACCTACAGTGACACTGCCCTACAATAGGCTTGTCAGGCCTCAAAAAGTAGTACCAAAGAAGCTGATTAGGACTTCAAGAGGTTTGTAGCAAGAATCAATGGCTCGTCTGTACTAATACTGTGGTTCCAGCACAGAAATGATAAAAGTGGAACACCATTAGTTATGCCTCATTAAGCTCCACAACCCTCCTAAAAAGAAATTTGTTTAGCCTGTACAAAAATCTAATGCAGTTTTAAGCTCTCTGTGTTGAATTTCATGGTATCTCAAAAGCTTCAATAAGATAAAGGCCAAAGATCCAAGAATGGTAACCAAAGCATCAACAGTAAAGTTAATTTTGAAGTTTCTGGTTTTTAATAGAACAGGTCTTCCCCCCCCCCTTTTTTCTCTTTCTTTCTTAGCCAGAAACTCAAATCTTTGAAAAAGAGAAACAGTACATCTCATACCCCACAATACACATACAGCAAGAATTTAATATCTTGTAAAGATGTGTTTTAAAAAACAAATCTATTGAAACAGAAAAGCAAAAGCCTCACTTTAAGATGAACAAGTAACACTGTGGACTCTGAGGACGCTAAGAACCTAAAAAAAATGTATCGAATGCAAGTAGCCATACCTGTCGTATCTTTGGGGCGGCTGCTGCAGCAGAGGTGTGGGCCCTCGCCACGATTCTTGGGGCCGTAGATCTGTATAATAAAACAAAAAAGTCTTAATGTGTAAAAATCGGTCCCATACACCACTTATTGTCAAGGCTCTGTTAAAACACTACGTGTTAAGAGTTTCAGAGAAGCAACAAAAACACCCCCAATTGGACTTGCTGCCAAATACTTTTGGGGAAAACTTTTACACTCTGGAGTAGCTGACCCTGGAAACTGGTGAAACAGCAAAATGTCTCCATTTGTAGCTTGTTAATATACGCCACAAACCTACATTGCAGGTAATCAAGAGGAAAAGTTACAGTTACTGGGACCAATACATTGGTTGATATTTTAAACTTGCATTTTCTGAAAATTTTACAACAACAAAAAAAATCAGGCAACTCCGACCACAATTTCTAAAAAGCTTCTTGCAGGTAATGTTTAGTGTTACCACCAAATACTGTGGATGTACGTATGATCTTTGTAATGGGGGAGGGGCGAGAAAGCAAACTGATAAAGAACGGCAATATTTTTATAAACATCAACCAATCATTTTCTTCTATTTATTAGGCTGAATTATTCACCCTACAGTCTGAAAGAGGATAGGGCGCAGACATGGTTTAAGAGTACTCTAGGTTCAACTTTGGTCACTGGAATATTAGGTTTTACTTTGTATCCTTTTGAATAATTATTACACAGGAGGGTTGCCTGGTGTCCGGTATTGACAGTTCAGTATTTTCACCTCCTGTCCAGTTTTTTTTAATATATATATAAAATCAGAAAATACCGGACACCTAAAATGTCCAGTATTTTCAGATTTTTTCTAGCCAGAGGCAAAAATCCCGGGTGCTTACCGGGTTCCGCAGGGGAGCTGTTTGGCCCAGAGCAGGGAGACAAGACGGCGGACAACCACCGGCAGCCTGTTAGGGCCAAAAGGCCCCAAAAGCATTTCTTAAAGGGGCCACGCTGGTTTTTTTTTTTTTCCATTAAAAAATTTTTTTTGCTTAATAACTCTCGGGATCCTTTCTCCCGCCTCAGAATTTTTCCCCTGGTGGGTTTTTTTGGGGGAAGGATGTTCAGTATTTTTGGTTAAACCATCTGGCAACCCTATTACACGCTGAAAAAAATTGGTAAAAATCTGGCGTAGGATCCATGGCATTGCAGCAGTCAGAAACGGTAATGAAAGGGACCACCCACTTTTCAATTGTTTTCTTGTAGTCAAGCTCTAACTCTGTACAAAGATGTACCAGCAACAACTTTGCTTTAATAAGACATGCAATTAAATGGCTGCTGTTCTTCTAAATAAATTGACCAGTAAACAGGATGAAAGAAACATCTAATCAATAGCTCCCTGCTCAGCTCACAACACTTAAATTGTGTAGCAGCCAAAAGCTTCAGTTTCAGTGACATCTTTGATTATCTTCAATGGTGTTTAAGTGTGACCTAATTATAACAGATGGTTCCAGAAGTTGTCTAATGGATACACTGTGATAGGATAGTAATACCCTGTTAAATTGTCAATATTCAAGGACACCAAAGCTTAGCAATAATTTGAGAGAACTCGACATTTACTTTTTCAATTGAGCTTTCAAGAAAAACATGGCTAGAGGGAAATCTGAGCCTCTCTTCTAGAAACTCAGACTGGATTGCTTATGCGTTTTAATGGTCTGACCTGAACAGAAACCTTTCATGGCAGCACTTGAGAGAACTGTGTATAGTGCGGGCAGGTCCTACGGAAGATAACAGCTGCTGGCGGAAATAAATTCTGATCTCCAACAGTTCTGGTATTCCTGCCTTGGGCTTCTTTGATCAGGATGAACCGTGCTCACAGAGGCAAGATTACAAAGTTACTTGTAGTGTGAACAAAATATCCATTAGAGGCTAGATTAGGATTCCCCAAACTCATTTCCCTTGTAACTAATTGCTAATTTGAAGATAAAGCATTTTATATTATTTTGTTTAATGGCAGCCAGATTGGCAGGGAAATCTATAGGATCAAGTTAGGAAAAGGAAAAAAAAAAACCACGAGACCAATCAAAGTTTAAATGGTAACGACAATTTGAGAGGATAAGGTACTTTAAGAGACATAGATTCATTATTCAAATTAGGACAGTACTAAAGGGCATGAGTATGTATTGTAGGGGAAGGTACTGACAATAGGGGGCCATTTCAATTTTCCATGGTCCATAGTTTCAAGTCTATCATTTTAAGCAAGCTTCATTTGAAAAGAGAAAATGAAAGATCTGCATTTCACGATTAAATATTTAACCCTCCAGGTATGTCCATAATTCTCTTAATTAAGTTGTCTACCTGGTCCTGGTAAATGACACCACCTTCTATTTGTAGCTTTCAAGAAAACTGTTCCCATTTCTGCTGAGCGTGGACTCTATCATGGTGATCCAGCCAAAGAAGACCTCCAGGCTTAATTCCTTAGGCCATGTCTTCACTGGGCAGGAACATCCAATTAAAATATGCAACTCCAGCTGGAGTCAACATACTTTAATTCAAGTTTCCAGGTGATCTCCACAGCAGGAGGTCAATGGGGAGAAAACCTTCCGTCAGTTTCCCTTTCTCCTTGGAAGGAGCAGGAGTGTGCTCACTGAATTTGATCTAGCAGGTCTTTGCTAGACCTTCTAAATCAAACTCCGGAAAAATGATGCGGCAGTGTCGATCTTCCGCCTAGTGAATACATGGCCTTATTTCTCTGCACCTAAGTAACAAGGTCACCAGGTTCCTAAACTGACAGCTCTATCAAAAAGAGGCAGCAAGGATGGAGAAGAGGAGGGGGTGCATCAAAGCATCAGCACCGCATGGAGCCTGGGGCAGCCACTTTGAAATGCCACATGCAGCCCGGGGCCAGCTGGGGACTTCCCCAGCTGACCCTGGGCTTCATGCGGCACTGCTGTTTTGAAATGCCGTGGAAAGCATGGGGCCAGCAGGAGATTGCTTGAGTCCCCCACTAGCCCTGTGCTCCCCATGGCGCTTTCACCGTTGAAGTGCAGCGACAGCCCTACACTTTAAAGGCAGAAGCGCCCTTATCGACTAATCAAATAGTCAATGCAAATTGCATTGACTATTTGATTAGCCAATTAATCTATATTTAACATCCCTAATGCAGATGAAAGAAGTGGCTCTTGTTCCTTGCTGTTCAGAGCTACACATTGAATCCAACATTCACTTATAAACACCTCAGTGTCTTCTGCTCCTCAGCAAGGTTCAAGGAAAACCCTCTCCCGAGAGGAGGTGAGTCCCTACCATCTTTCATATGGATCCCTAAATCATGAGTGCCTAGCGTCTGGGTGTTGCGAGCTCTGTAACTGTTCACTTCCTCTGAAAAGATCAGACTCAACCCTGTTCAGGAAGTAGTTCTGATCACATCTCCTTGTGCAGCACGTAGGGACACAGAGATTAAGTGTTCACATGCAGGAATAACTTAATAGTGAAGCAGAGTTTAAAACAAACTTATTACCATTCGTTTGCATGGTTCTGATAGAAGATCACTTTAAGAAGGAGAAAAAAGCCTGAAAGTGAATTGCACTTCAAAAAGGTACGAGCAGGAGAGGAAAAAAAAAGACAGTTAATATTTTCTTTGGTCTTAAATTAGGCATTTCCTAGAGCTATAAGGCCATATAAACGGCCTTCTCCAGCAGCTCCTCAAGTGACAATTTATCTAATCAGTGTAGCAATCAAAGACAAGATTTCATGTTTACTGATTGCACTAATCAAAATCACTTTTCAAATGCAGCTAATTGACAAGTTTACCGACTGAGATGAAAGTCACAAATCACATACTCTGGATTGCAGAAACCAAATACGCCATTCGCACTGCACTACCAAGCCGCACTTGACTCCCCCAAGTTATCAGAACACAGACAATTATTCATCAACGGAAAATTGGCACATCCAAGTCAAATCAGAGAACAACGGGAAGAAACACCCCCGACAGGCTCTTCAAAAAGAGGAGGTGGTTTGATTGACCATATTGCCCTTCTAGAGTCCTATTTCAGCTCATCACATATAAAAGACAAAATCCTAAAATAAAACTCTACTTCTTTCAGTCTCACTGCTTTACCTGTATTCTTGCTGCTTTCTCCACTACACAAAAATTGAGGGTGTGTTTTCCAGGAGCATTTTTAGTCACATTACTATTCCCGCCCACCCAGAGCGATCTTCTGGCTTCATTTGTGGTTGTTTTATAGTTCTACATAGAGGAACTGCTTACATCCGATTTACAATGTGAGTCTCATTTAGAAAATCTTTTCCATTTGGCAGCATAGGACTTCCTAGCTGAAGACTTCTGACTTTCCAACATCATTTCCAAGAACTCCTGGCAGAAGATTTTATCCTCAGGCTTATTTAAGACACCAGAAGAGCCTTTGGATTTCAACGAGGCATTTGTCTTTGAGTTGAAAGACAGAGGTACAAGAAAGCTACTAGAACTAGATCTAGAAGCCCACCTACCAAAAGCCATGTTTAGCCAGTCAGTAGGGTTAAAGTTCAATCTTTTTTAACTGCCTTAGGAACCATTTGTATTGGAGGAAATACATATGGAATGACGAGGGACCTTACCAGTTCACAGTCCATTTTGGTCTATTTCATGGACATACTATTTTAAAAATAATACAATTCATTATTTCAGCAATTCAAATCTGAAATTTCAAAGTGTTGGAATTATAGGACCCTGACCCCAAAAGGAGTTGTGGGGAGGATCACAAGGTTAGTGTGTGTGTGGGGGGGGTGAGGTGGGGTGGGGGGTGGATGGCTTGGGTACTTTGCTACCGGGGCGTTGCCTTCAGAGCTAGGTGCATGGCCAACAGCTGTTGCTCTCGGGTCACCCAGCTCTGAAGGAAGTGCAGAAATAAGGGTGGCAATACCATAATCCTCCTAAAATAACCTTATAACACCCCTGCAACTCCCTTTTGGGTCGTGACTCCAAAACTGGGAAATGCCAGTCTCTTCCGTAAAATCTGTCTAGGACGGGGTAAAAGCATACAAGAGACCAGATTTTGCACGGGAGACCAGATTTCACAGCCCGTGATGTCTTTTTC